TGTGAACATATTATTCCTATATTTGTTCATGGAAATAGAAACAAAAAGGAAAATCATGTATTTTCTAGCATCTTAAATCCACATAATAGAGCTGTGTAGTCATATTTGCAAGTCCCAACAGTTGATAAATATACAAGTCACGTGCTTAAAAAACTATTGAAAAGTTGGGGTTTTTTATTTTGGCCTTGCATCTTCTTTTCGTTTTTGAGCACTGTTTCCCTACAAGGGTATAATTACCTTCTACTGCAGTAGGTCTTCTGAATAGATCCATCAAAGATTGTAAAAATGCTGCTACACACCTTGAAATTTCTCCCCAAATCCCGATATTGTCACAATGGAAATTTGCTTTCCTGGCCTCCCCCACCCCCGGCACCAACATGGCCCCTCAGCCCTCCCCACCAAGTTCAGCCCTCGTGGGGTGCTCACCTCAGCTCCGCCAGCAGCTCTGGAGGTCACCGCCACAGGAGCGGGATCCCCAAGAAGTAGCTTCCAGCAATTTCCATGGACTGCCCATCTCTCTAGCCAGGTTGGGGTGGCTGCTGCCGCTCGGCAAGCAGCTGAAGAAGCATTTGGCATTTCCCAGGGTCAGCCTTCAGGGTGAGGAAGGAAGAGCAGCCACCTCTGTTGAGGAGGTGGGACAGGGCAATGCCAGCACCTGCAGAGCAAGGAGGTGTCCAGAGCCTCTGAGATGGCCCCAGAAAAAGGGCGCTTACCAGAGAGGCAGAGTTTTGGAACTCTTGAGGTGGTGACAGCTCTCATGCCAAAGGAAACAGGGAGGCTTGCAATACCATTTCTGACAGGAGGACACCTACAGCATTCACCTGAGTCTCGTGTGGGACAGGGCAATGCCAGCACCTGCAGAGCAAGGAGGTGTCCAGAGCCTCTGAGATGGCCCCAGAAAAAGGGCGCTTACCAGAGAGGCAGAGTTTTGGAACTCTTGAGGTGGTGACAGCTCTCATGCCAAAGGAAACAGGGAGGCTTGCAATACCATTTCTGACAGGAGGACACCTACAGCATTCACCTGAGTCTCGTCCCTTCCCTTCCCTTCCCTTCCCTTCCCTTCCCTTCCCTTCCCCTCCCCTCCCCTCCCCTCCCCTCCCCCCCCTCCTCGCCCTTCCCACCCTCTCTGTCTCCCCACGGGCCCCCGGGAGATGTGAGCTGGGGGACCGGCCACAGGTGCCTTCCCTTCAGCCCGTGGAAAAATCACTTGAGCAGCTTCACCTGAGTGCCCTGTCAGCTGAGATTGCCCTTCATCCCCCTGGTTGTTTGACTCTGGGACTGGTTCAGATACGGTTTTCTAGCTCGTGACTGAGTACACTTGTGGATGTAGAGGAGCGGGTGGTGGCAAGGTCTCCACGTGCCCTTCATTGCTGAGCACTTTCCTCTTACACTTCCCTGCAGCATGCATGAAGAACAAGCCAGTACCGCAGCTGCAGGGAGTGGCATGACCGAGCCTTCGTCAGCGTTTAGCAGCTTCAGTACCTGGCTCTCAGTTATCGGCGGACATACCAGCACGTGAGAGCTTTCCAGCTCAAAGGGAAAGGGCGCAAGCACAGTGAAATTTTGCTTTTACGTTTACCACAGTGCAAAAGGGTTTAGTTACTGTACATCTGTGTGCATCCCACATAACAGAGGCAGGTTTCACCATCTCTTTGCCTATATGTTTCCATTCCATAAATGGGGGCAAAACGTTTCCCTCGCAAGGAAGCTAGTATTTGTTGCAGCTATCAAGCTGAACATATACTGACTCAAATACCCTTCCCCACTGGCTGTCTGTTTCATGTTTTTCCTTTACATGGTAATGGTGTTTTAGGAACAGGTTCTCTTCCGCAAGAGATTCCACACCGTTGCGACTCCTTCAACTTTGGTACACATTTTTGAGTCAGCAGTGTAGTGTGTCGGAAGGGAAGTATGTAACTTGTTCTACTGTATAGATTGTCTTTGCAAAAAAAAAAATTGCAAAATAGGCAGTCTCATCAATTTCCTCCCATTTTCTTGGCTGCTATAGTTTGAGAAAAGGCAGATCTTTATTCTTTTCTAATTCTAGATATTTTTCCCTCACAAAGGTGGCCCTGGCTCTGGCAAAGGTAGCCAATGTGAACAGTTAGCCAAGAAATATGGATTTACTCACCTGTCCACTGGTGACCTTCTCCAAAATGAGTTATCGTCATTATCAGAGAGAAGTAAATTGATCAAAGACATCATGGAATGTGATGAACCCGTGCCTGGCGTAAGCGACGGTTTTATTTGGGGTCCTAATGGTTAAACAAAGGTAGTGGTAGATTGTCTAAAAGGGTGGAAATAGGAGACTAGAGCTGATGATTCCCATTTAAGTAAAATTCATCCGCAACTTGAGGGAGAAGTTTCCTCATTGCCAGATCTGTGACACTTCTTCCCCCTTTCTATGCCAGTATTTCTTTACATTTCAGACTCACATAGGCAACAAATTAGTCATGAAGTACAGTAAGACAGATGCTGCACTATGCATTGCAAAATGTAAGAACAAGTACGGGAAACAGAAACCTTATGTCCATTTTATAGCTTCACATTTCAGATTCAGAGCTGGTCCTCCTGGCAGCTATTCTATTTTACAATACCTGCGGCAGTTCCCTGCAGAGCTGGCTGACATCCCAGAGTAGCTAGACTGCAGTTTAATGGAGACTATGAGGACAGAATGTGTTGTTCTCAGCTGGACTTGCCTTTTATGTGGCAGGTCTGCAGCCCCAACTCTTGGTGGGTCTTCAGCAAGTGCAGCTAGATCGTAGGTTGCATTTGTTAATGAAAGATACTGGGAAGTGCTGCTCAGGGGAAACTAAAAGCTGTGCTGAGGCTTGATTTTGATTGCTTTGCTCTTCGGTGTGTTTGGTCAGATGGGTCTCTTATCACTTTCCATGTAATATAATTATATCAATGACATAGCAAAATGCAATCAGATTGGAAAATACTGCAGCAGTACTCCAGAGTTTCACAGGTATTAACATTAACTTTGAAACTATGAAATGTTCCCAGCTATCTAGAGGACAGTGGGAACTCGTGGATGGGTTGCAACACTAGATTAGTGTAGCATAGCTGGTCCTGAGAGAAGAAAAAGTAGGGTGCCCTGCTACCTGCAGGACAAGAAAAACACCTGCATTCACAGGACCTGCTTTTAGCAAAACAAGGCAGTTCTCAAGGGCGTAGGACTAAAGTCAGTGTAACAAACAAAGGTATCAGTCTTTCTTATTAATTAACCAAGTAACTCCCTTTCTTTCCAATGCAGGGTATTGTCCTAGAGCTACTGAAGGAAGCCATGGTTTCCAAGTTAGGGGACACAAAAGGATTCCTGATCGATGGGTATCCCCGGGAGCTGAAAGAAGCAGAAGAGTTTGAGAGCAAGGTGACCGTATAATTGTAATGCTGTTATAACTCGTATTAAGATATGACTGTACTTCTGATGCTGCTTGGGTCCCCATCTTTAGCTGATTGCAATAGGGACGTGTAAAGAGCCAATCCAACAGCGTTGTGCTGCTGATCACTGAAACTTTGGCACCCCATCAATATAGCAGCTCCAGCTTCTGCCCTCACCTACACAGACTCTGTAATACCAAATCTAATATAAACCAGGAACAATTCACATTTAGTGGAAAGCACCATTTTTAGAACCCGTTTTCTAATTCTAGTGGATGGCTGCTATACTTCTCATGCAAATCTCGTCAAGCACTATTTAATGTAGGTTCACGAAAGCATGTATCTTCACAGTTAATACCATTGAGCCGGCTCTGCTAAAGCTTGCTGCCACTTTGAAACAGCAAAACACAGATTAAATTTTCATGATGAGTAACAGGTGGCATAGCCATAAAAAGAGCGTTTTGCAAGTGACTGCGTGGCAGTTCAGAGCGTTACCGATTTCCTCAGTATGTGCTAAGACCTACTGAGAAGTCTCAGCTGTACATTTCTCAAGCTGCAAAAAATACTCTATATAAGCCCTATGAATGAATTTGCCAGAGTTTAGAAGAAAAGTGGTGAACTAGGGGAAATAGTTAAGTATATATTTTATCATATTACACTCCACAAATGTCCTATACAAGTTTGAAAGGTAATAGAACTTTAATGAATCATTTGTTTTCTCCCTGCAACTTTAGCTGCTTTATTTAGTTGATTACCACAAAAGCCTACAAGACTTAGGCATCAGAAGCTGGACAAAATAATGGGCCATAGGATTTGCTATAGAAGCCATTCACAGAAATGTTGATCTATTAGTTCCTTTACTAAAATGCCACAGACTATTAAAAAGACACTGGAGATTTCTTTCATTTTTTGCAGAAAGAGGAACTATTTCAGCAGTGCTGCTTTTCTGGCAGGCATATGTGTCACGTCTTGTGAACACTGGTGTATGCTATAAAGTAGGACTTAGAGGTTGGAGTGTCCTGGACTGAGGCATTGCCAGGCAAACAAGTCTTGATGCATCCAGTGCAAAAGCAAAGCCCCTTTCAGTTCCTGTAGACACTGTAGCAGCAAAAGATCCTGTAGTCCTGGGCTGCCTTTGACAGTTGGATTAAAATAGAAGGATCCCGAGTGATAATTTTAAATGTGCTAAGTCATCCCTGTTGTATCCACGTATCCACTTCAGTTTCCACAGGGTGAACTTGGCCGGCTGTAAGCTGCTCAGTAAGTCTGTGAAGTTTTTTTGAATGAGTCATTACTGAGATAATGCTTTGCAGTCCTTTCTAAAGGGCGATGAGGTTCTTCCTACATTATAATTGAATGAAAAGAGGTGGACATCAGGCGTTATTAATTAATGGCGGCAAAGTGCAAATGAATAATGCTACATATCTACATGATGTGTAAAAAGCATTGTAACTGTTAACAAAGAGCTGTTCTATTTGGAAGACATCGGGAATAGTGCTTATACTTAAAAGCTTGACAGCCCTAAATAGAATTAGCTACGTAGAAACGGCTTATTCTCCAGCCAGTTTTGCCCAATTCCTTGCTATGATATAATTGTACTTTTCCCTAGCCATAATTCTAGAGAAGCACATGCCTCTGTTCCCTCCTCGGTCTTTCTGCTAGGTGAGAAGTAGAAAACAATATTAAATTATAAGTAAGTTAAGTTCCACATCACCAGGTGGAAGATACCCAATAAGACAGAGAAAAGACCCAATACATTAGACGTGTTTGGCTTCCTGCAGATGTCCCTACAGCATGCATAATTTAAGCTAAATTGTGTCAGGAAAACAGTAATTTAAAAAGAAACAGTAGTAAAAATTGCTGTAATATCTGATAGGGGCATTACTTTTACTTTTTGCAATTTTTAACTCAAAAGAATGACATTTCTGTAACATTTTGAATTCCAGAGAATAGCAACATTGAAACTTTTAAGAGAACCACATAGATTTTACAAAAGCAAGTCAGACCCGGTCTGTCAAACACGGTACTGTTACCTGACCCTACCAGTCAGTAGACTCCTTCATATCCTCATTGTAAGGTGATGATAGGACTATAACTGACTAAAGGAATCATTCCTCATTTATTGTATCATAATTTAGAACAGACCATGGAATTTCTCATGTGGAGCTGGGAGGAAATAACTTCTCACTAACCTAGTCCAATTATACAAAAAGGACGTTTGTTTTAATCATTGATTAAGCCCGCATCTTTTTTAACTTCTCGATCTAAGTCTCTTGCACTGCTAAAACTGCCTTGTTGGCTTTTTTAATCCCCAAACTCAATACTGCTGCTGCTAATAGCATTAATGTTTTCTGAGCTGTGTGGAAAAAATGCATAGATAAAAGCCTGTCATTGAACTGTCCGACATAATCCCTTGGCTTCAGCTGTCTCTTAGAAAGTCATTAAGGCAGTAGAAAGGTCAACATAATCCAGACATCCTCAGTCAAATGCAGAGGGCCTAGCATGAAGTCTTTAACTTTAGAATATTTCTTCCTTTAAGGGCTGTCGACAAAGGTAGCAATGGCAATTTCCATGTATCAGTCATTTAGATTTTCTTTGCTGTAGCCATGGTAAAAGCATGGATTTATCATGGTCACTAGTGTGAAGAACAGTCGTCTTTTCTCGAGAATTCTCACTCTTTCCTAAAAGGTGTTCTCCAATTCCCTGCTAGAAAGGGAAGGAATGAGAAAAAGCCTGAGAGCATCACTGAAGGATTTAATACCTAACTGCATGGAAAAATTATCACATTGCTTTTCTCTGATCCTGTAACACTTTTATTTTACGTGGCTGAGTGGAGTTTATCCCTTTAGACTCAGCCCAACAGTTGTTGCTCAGACAAAACCTTGTGTCAGAGAGCGCTGTGCTGGAGCAGGGTGCATGACAGAGCATATTGCAAGGTTTATGCTAAATGTCACACATATTTTTCAGCATCTCGGGGAAAGAACGATGGGGATTTGTGTTTAGAACTTTTGGCTCTCCCCTAAAATATTATAAGGAACATTTTGCTCTATCTTGCCAGTTCTTTTTCACCCATAAAGTACTGCAATATCTACTACCAAATGTAGATAGAGACAATTATTTACTATCTTTGCCAAGGCCTGGGAATAAAAATAAATAAATCCATATTTATTTTGTTTATAGAAAAGGGCAGACTCTCCCTTATGACTAGTTTGGCACTAGCCAAAAAGCACTAAGTGGTGGGCTTCTCATAGAATTCGGAAATTACTCACCAATTTGAAAATGCAGAGAAATATATCACATCCTTCCTTTATGCCGTGGGTACTAGTGATGTAGAGTTACGCTGCAAATATTGACCTAAAATAGTGTGTGACATAAAGTAATTCACAGGGTGTATTCCTGTGAACACGTCCAATAACAAGCCTTCGATGGTGTCGCTGAGCCTGTCTGTTGCTACTCATTCCATTTCAAGTGGGCACACTTTAATTTGGACGTTTCCTTCTATTGCCTCTTGAAATTCTAAGCTACAGTTTACCACTCCCTGAATGAAAATATACTCTTCACAGATTGAACAAAGAAAAGGCTAAAACAATAACTGTCAAGCATTCCCTGAGTCCAGTGCTGTTTGCATCAAGCTTTTATCAAACAATTGCAAATAATGAACAAACTGACGATCTTCAGTCCAAGTAGCCAGAATTTTTCAGATCATGTCTCTTTTTCTCTGTATGTGTAGAGCCCATTCAAGCACAGCCTTGATCCTAAATACTGGGATCTCTAAGTGATGCTAGGATAAGAGGTGTTTGTTAATAAGCATAATTTCTGCATAGGCAAATAGGAAAGTAACTTGCTAATAAATTCCTTGATGACTCTTTCAGTAGCATTTCTTTTTAAAGTTACCCAAACAAAATCAGTTTTAGCAGGCCATTGGTTTGAATACTTAGTGGTTTTCTTTGTCTCTAGATTGGGGAACCAAAACTTGTGTTCTGCCTGGACTGCTCTGCAGAAACCATGAGCAGTCGCCTTCTGATGAGAAATCAGAGCAGTCAGCACTCTGGTAACGCCGGAACCATCAAGGAAGGAATCGAAAGCTATTACCAAGCATCAAAACCTGTGATCGCATACTATGAAAGGAAGACACAGTTATGCAAGGTAAATTGCTTGACCTTTTGAATTAAATTATTGCTTTTTACTTCCATTATATGAGCAATATTTGGAAAATACTGACACGACATGATTTATGAACTGTATTAGTTTCTGCGCTTTCCAGTTTGTTCTCATCTTACGCTTCCCTGGTTTGTTTGCAACTTCTACAAACTTCTGAGTTCCACAGTACAATTTGAAGGAATAAAAAAGATTTGAAAGATTAAAAATTTATCCTGAGTCTGAGAACTTATCCTGAATCACTACCTCATCTGTATAGAATCTCTTATTAAACATGAATGCTGGAACGCTTTTCTTTAAGTATTAGGATTTATTTCTCTGTAAGGGCTTTCAGAGTTAGGGTGAAAGATTATGTTAATCCAAAGCCCTTTAGTTAAATTTACAAAACTGACAGTGTATATCCTGAAATAAGAGAGACCTGCACACAAGAAAGATCTTTCTGCTGGAACAAATGACATAGTTGTATTAATTTCAATTAATTACCTCAGTTGACACCTGCTGAGGATGTGATATTTAAAGCATTCTTTTTATTTGCTAATCGATACTTTACAGAGAATCAAGAAAAATTCCATCAGTGCAATTAACTTTGCTGGCACATCTGTAAACTCATTCATATGGGATGTTTATATTTCTTTTTATATATTTCTCTGCTCCATTGTGGCAAACTATCTCTTATGTTCAGCTACTGAAAGATCTAGTCCTACTGATCCTTCTTGTCCTAAAAGAGAAAGAATCCAGTAACAGTTTCTGGAAATATTATGGGAGCTTTTTTCTAGAGGCTGTAGCAAACATGCAATTCACATGTCCCAAACCTTTCTCCTCTGCAAAGTTCCCAAAGGAGAAACATGCAGCTAATTTATGCACCCATATCCTGACCTGAGAACAGAGTAAATGACGTAGTCCTGAGGAAAATGATACTCAAAGGGAGAGTCCTGATTTACGTCCTTTGCCAACCCCACACTAAGTGCACAGAAGGCAAACTGTAGAGTGGCACACACAAAAAAATCCCCAATCACTTTTCTTTTTTAAGCTTAAGAATGATTATCTAGTTTTCTTTGTATTGTCTTTGACGAGCTACCTTGCCAACATTGCAAGGATGTGTCTAATGAAGAATTCGGTACAATACACCAACACAGTGAGATGATGCAAAGGAAAACAGAGCTCTGTATCTCTGAGATCTTATTCCAGTGAACTGTGCCTACCGCAGTGTTTCCCTTTTTGAAACATCAGGGAAGTGACAGCCCCAAAGAGAATGAAACTACACTAAATACTTTCACACAGATTTTGCATTCATGGTCTGCCTTATTTCACTTGATATGGGCTCTCCTTGCCCTTCCTTAATACTTCTGCTGCAAGTTTCTGCTCCATCTCCTGTGCAACCTATGCAGTGGCAAAACATGCAGTCTTTTCTTGAAAGCTTATAGCTCATTAGCTCCTTAAGGGACTTGCCTAGTCTATGGGTCAGAACTGGGTATGTGCTTTGCACTCTTTTATCATTAGTTTCTGGGGGAACTGACATTGTGTGTTTGCAAGTTAGAAAATACTCGTGCATTGCTTGAACAGCGTTTACACTGTTTTTCCTACAATGTCTGTACAGTGTCTGTACTTGCTTCTGATGAATGTAGGTGTTCAACGTACTTCCATCTTCTGGATGGAACTATTGGGTATGAAAGCTCTGTAAAATCAGCTTTATAAACATTATCATGTAAAATGTCCTTTTAAGGTTGAAAAACGTGTTCTGTTTTTCTTGAACACAGGTACTGTGTATTGAAATGTCTACCTCATCCGCTTTTTACTAAACTGATAAAATACACATCGGCTATTAAAGATGTGATTCCATTATGGATTTAAGTAAAGTAGGGAGATGCCCCCTCCCCAACCCTTATGATGTAGATAATTACATGTTCAGTTCTTTATCAGCATTTAGAGAACACTGTCAAAATACTCAGCAGAGGTAGGCTTTTAAAATTAATCCTCCCAGGCTATCCTTGTCACCTTCAGCCAGCCTCGGGTACAAGCCTGCAGCCCTGGTGCCTGTACAGCAAGGAGCAGAAGCAAATGTAGTTTTCATACAAGCAGCATGTTAACGTTTCATTGTTCAGGGGTGAGAGAAGTGATTTTTTTAACCAAGTGCTGTTGAACAGTTGTGGGAATCTATTTTAAAGTTTACTTTGGACCTAAAGTGGAAAAGTAGGTCTGAGCACTTTTTTGCGCAGGGCAATTGACTTCAATAGCTATTCTGATCCAAATATTCCCTATCAGTTCTGCAGTGGACAGTGCTGGAATAAAAAAAAGAACGTTCAGTTTTGGAAATACACTTAATACTGTGAAACAAAGTAATATCTTTTCTGGAAGGAATGCTTGTTTAGGAAATTTTTCTAGGCAATTTTCCTGGATAAGTGAACTCAAAGAGTTCAATCACACAGTCTGACTTGGTCAACGACGCAACTTGAGCGTAGTGCCTGGCGTAGTGGCATCCTTCCAGTGCCCAGTCCTGCTTTGAGCAGGAAGCTGGACTAGATGACCCACTGAGGTTCTTTCCAAGCTGTATTATTAACCTGTAAATGCACATCTTGCAAACCTATACATTATTTGGCTCAACAATCTGAAGAATAAAGACAAAGAAAAAACAGTTAAGACTTGGTCAACAGCTGTTTTGAAACAAAGAGAATTAGATAACGCAAAATGTGTAACTGTTAGCTATGTGGGAAATTAAGAGAAAATAGACATTTAGGTTTACAGTTTTAAAACTATTTTAGTGGTGAATATGTTTAGGCTGCATGTGTTGAAGAAAGCAGAGAGTAAAGGGGAAGTTTGCAATTCCCAGGACACGGGGTTAGGTTCTTATTTATAGCAACGTATTTTACAGACTGCTGAGCATTGACATTAGCAGCCACTCTGATGTTCTCTGAATGAAGAAAGGAAATTCAGGTGGAAAGCAGAAAAAATATCAGTAACACTTCTGACTGCAATTTTTTTTTTGTGGGCAAGGCTAAAATAGTTCTTTTTTTTTGATATTTTGTTATTTGTAATATCATACACATACATGGAAGACTTAGACTTTACCTAGATGCAGTCTAACATGTTTAATATTTTTAATATTTTAATATTTTTAAAATATTTTTAATGATTTTAATTATAACACCACACGTTTCCAGCTTTGGGAATCTGTTCATTCCTAAGTGGGCTTTATTACTCTCCAGCATTGACCAGAGCTGGCTGAAGATGTTAATGTTCCAATTAAGATGCTGCTGCCTCTATAATTCTGCTCGCTGAAAGAACTGTGTATATGTTTCCTAATCCATTTCAGGCAAAGCCACCAAAGTTAATTTACAAGTGTTGATTTGAAGACCCCTTAAAATAAATGATCTCATCTACATTCATGGATTTTTTTATAAATAATCCATGGTCCTTCATGTAAATACAGGCCAGAGGCTTGTGCACTCTTTTTCTCAGGCAAAGCTGGTTGGATCCAATAGCTTCAGGGAAGTGATGTCTTACCTGAAGGTGCTGTTTGCAGATCCAGGTCAGTCTGTGATCCCAGGATAAGTGATGGTCAAAGCGTCTGAAGAGAAGCTATTTAAGAGAGAAAGAGAAGAAGGGTCTAAAAGAATCTTTAGTTGCTGCCTTCTGGAAAGTTATTCCTGCCCGGGCTTGTTTTTTCAACAGAAGCAGTTCTTCAGTGGAAGGCCCATGTGAGCTTTATGTCCCTTGAGATGCCAGCCGTGCACTTTCTTAATAATTCAGAGGAGTGGATGCTGAGATTTTAAGAGGAATGTTAGAGTCTAAATCCCACCTAACTGCCATGAAAATTCAGCATTAACCTTTTCTAGCCAGCTTACTGCAATGTGTGACTAAGCACCACTAATAATTGTAGGTGAAATAGTGTTTAATTGTATAAGTGATCATGTCTTGTAGGGCTGAACTATAGCACCCAGTCCCTGCTTTGCCACAGAAAAGAAAATCAGAATTGTGAAATAGACTTGTTTAACAAGAAAATAGGGTTGGCATATTGGTATTATCGGATTTCTCCATTTTAAGTGTATTTAGGGCTGGGCAAAGTTTTCCACAGATTGGGAACAGCACATGGCAACGGTGCTATGTGTTTTAACTTGTCCTATCCAGCCTAAAAGTTTTCAGTGCTGAAACAGGCACATTAAATATGCAAATGTAAAATTCATTCCTGGGCATAGGACCAGCAGAAGGTCTGGTGTGGGAATTAGATGTTGGATGAGTACTCAGTGGAGGAGGAACTGATCTGTCGTGCCATATCAAGGTGTGCTTGAGACTACATTGTCAAATGAGCTTTCTCATTCTCTGCATTGGAACGGGTGTTACAGCATGGATGGAAGGAGCCTAATGAACACAGTAGAGACAGAAAAACTCAAGTCTGACCTAGCTTCCTCTGCAGTCATTAGGAATTCTCTCTTTGCTTTGCTTGCACAGAAGAGACAAAGTTACATGGTTGTTACAGCATTCCCATTTTAATCAATGAGAATTTTATGACCTTCTCTAAACCTAGAATTATTGTGCATAGATGCATTCATAAATAACTAATATGATATTTGGAAATTGAACATTTTTCCATTCCACTGACTTCTGAACAAGAACAGTGACCTGATGAAGCTGCCAAAAGATCAGGACTCTGTTTGAAATTTCCCTTTGACCACGATTACCTGTCAGTGTTTCTGCTCAGCAGTGGAAGCATGAGGTGTGCACAAAGGGTGGAGAATTTGGGTGCAGATGGAACATCTGTGAACCTGACAGGAATAAATAATGGTGATCTTTCCAGCCACCCAGCTGAGATGAACTGTGATGTAACTCACGGTGATATATTTACAAGGGAAGATAAACTGACTGAAGAATGAAGGGCAAAGAATGACAGTGTCCTCTGCTCACTTTTCTGCTAAGGCATTAATTTTCTAAATTGTGTTCTGGAAGGTAAAGTAGTTGTAACAATAAGTTAGAAATTTTCCAATTATTTTTTAAAAGATCATGTTTTGGGCATATAGTTCAATATTCCATAATTTCTATTATAGTCAGTTACAGAACACCCACCTGCCGCTAAGGACAGCAAGCTGGTGCTTTTTAACAAAGACCTCCTACTGGAAGTGCAAGGACTGAAAGCACTACTCACAAAACAGTTGCAAGCTGCCTGATTCTGTGGGAATCAGATGTTTCAGATGAATGAAATGAAATGAAATGCACTATGGTAGCTGTAGTAAGCAGGTAGATACTGTTGTTTTTAAATTTATTTCTCAGTGATTTCCAAGGCAGCTGGACAGAAAAGGGCGTCTGAAAATTTAGTAGGCACCTACTTGTGTTTTAATGTGGCTAAATGTAAATACCTTTGAATATATGGCCCTCTGTCAGTTGAGAAGAAAGGGAGAAAAAAACCTGATTGTTTTTAATATCTGACTCATCCTTTAAAGCTTTTTTCAAGTGACAGTATGTAGGAGGGTAATAAGTAATGGAGAAGAGCAATGCATTGGTAGTCAAGCAAGGCAAAACTGATCCTACCTAGCTAACGCAAGACACCTAGTAGGTGTCTTAAATACAAGTTCCCTACTCAAAGTCATCTGAGGAAAAGGGTCATGAGTAAACAAATAAGGTAGGCAGTCCAGAGCAGAGGATTTTCAAGGATGTCCAAAAACCTTCACTGTTGCAGACCACGTGCTATGGAAGGTTAGCCTACAAAGTTCAACCAAAATGCTTTTTCTTTTTCTTTTTCTTTTTTTTTCTTTTTCTTTTTCTTTCTTCTTTTTTCACCATGTTGTTCTACTGTTTCTTTCTATAATCAGTTGAAGTCACATGCTGGGTAAGCAGTAGTTACTAGATTCTTATTACAAACATTTTCCGTAGCCATTATGAAAGAGCGAGTGACCATCCACCCTCTCATGATCTTCCACTTCTGAGCCTTCTCATGCTGATCCCCTGTTAGAAGTTTCTCTGGGGAGGGGCAAATGTGTACTTTTCCCTTTAGAGAAGGGATAATCAGTGGTAATAGTGATAGCAGGCATGTATTTATTTCCATCTTTTGAAAGGTTGTCAGAGAATCATTAACCCTGGTAGGTAAGTAGGTGGGGAACAAAGGAACGAGTGTTTCTATGTCACCCCCCTTGCTGGCTTGTGACCCATTAGATGAGACACCGGTCTAGAAAGGTACATCAGAAACATTAGCAGGGGATTGTAGGTAAAACACAATGGTAAATTCATGCCAAATGTGAATAGGTATTGGGGCAGGGTGTTTCCACTGGATTTCCAGACAGCTTGATCCATTGCTCTGAGAACCAGGTACTGCACTGTCTCAGAGAGGTTTTTAACACTCTTTTTAATGACAAAGATATAAATCTTAGTGACATACAGCTGAACTTGACTGACCTTCAATAAGAAGCTTCTAACTAGTGAGTTTATTCCAGAGTCTCAGTCTGTCTTTCTGAAAACGGTGGTCCTCAGTCATCCTCTCTACAGACAATTGGGCTTTTCTTAGTGGCAGTATACATCTAGGGTTCTAAATCCCAAAAACTATGACAAATGGAGATTTTATGACAGAAAATTTAATTGGCTAATTTTAATGTCAAAAGGAGCAACATTGTACTATGAAGATGATTACTCCTGTCAGTTTTCATATGAGCTCATTAAATTTCTCTGTATTTGAAGTTACCTAAAGCCATAGTGGCATTTCAAAACTGGAAACACTATGGAAAACTGTATCTGGATCTTGCTTTTATGGGAAGATGGTAGCCTTGAATAACCTTGAAAACAGTCCTAATTTATGAGGTTTGTTATAATCTGAGAAAGAGATATACACAGTTTTCTCTCCTGGAGCTGCAGAGAGTGTCATTGAATTACTGTGGTACTAGCTGTGAATTATTGTTACAGTAAGTTAGTTTTGTGCCACGACTTTAAGTTAGTTTTAGGAACTGGACCTTTGTTATTTAGGGGGCCAGCACGGGAAGCACTGGGGCTGTCATTAGTCACACTCTTCCATATTTTGCTGTGACTGTTAGGAAGGCAGCATTCCAGCCAGTCATAAAGGGTGGCAATTTCCATGCTCACAAACCTAATTCTTTATCGCAACTGCCTAGATCTAGACCTGAGTATCAGTCCCAGTTCTAGAAGAGGTCGCCGAAAAGCCAATGGCAATATCAGCTGTGCTGATTAGGTTAGATCGGTTATCCAGTGCAGATGTATTTATGGAATAAAGAGATAATAAAAATACATATTAAGACAAGAGAGCTTTGAAACGGCTGTGGCCTTCACCCTGTGTGAAGTATATTTCCCGTGGGATAGCCATATGAAAATAGGTGTCTTGGCAGTTGAGACAGACAAAACAAGCTGCTTTATAGCAGCTGAGATGGGAGTTGCTAGTTTTATTAGTAAGTGGAGAAGGTAGGCATTTGGTCCAGAATTGTTCACCATTCCCCTTTTCTCTTTGCTACTAGTAAGTAACCCCCTCCTAAACCCTTTGTTTCTGTGGCATAGAAAGCTTCTGAAAGACATGCAGCCCTTGTTTGAGAACTGACCTTTCTAAGGCACCACCTGCTGCTTCGCAAACTATTCCAGCATGTGCGTACTTCAGCATTACATCAAGCAGCAATGTCAGCAAACGCCAGCGTGACAGAGAGCAAGGGAAGCAAGAGAACCGTGCTGCTGAAAGCCTGCCAGGAGGGGAGAGGGTAGTTCAGCTCAGACTGGAAGATACCCTTGCGGTGCGTCCAAGGGGACTGAACCCAGTCAGGCATGGCTCCTTAAAGGTTGGCCAGGCTGGTCCTTTCCAGTGCTGGAACTGCTGTGTGTGGAGGTAGACTGGCTGGGAGTGCCAGCACTTCCGACAGGATGCAACAAGGGACCAAACTTCGCAGCATCTGTGGATGCCACCAAGAGCGAAACCAAGCTACGGAGCGTGAATGCAATCCCTTGCTGGATCTCTGCAAGGAGCAGCTGCTGACTCCCACACAAGATTTAGCACCGAGGGACTTAAATGTACATTGAGTGCAGTCAGACTGTACAGGAGCTGGCTGCAAGCCAACACCGTATCTGAGAAGAATTTCATGGCCTATTTCAAAAATACATTTTTTGGAGTTTGAAATTCCTTTTATTCTCCTGCAGAACAAAGAGGTGGCAGAAAGTAGGATGGTCAGGAATGTCCCCTTCAAACGTTACAATTGTCTGGCATCCTAGTCAGCAACTTGGAGGTGAAAACGTAGCACGTAGTTCAGAAGAACAGGCTTTAGCAAAGTTGTCATGGGTCCAGTTAAATGTGCGCAAACTCCATGGCATGCGTGCATGAAAGGCTTAAGCATGGAGAAGCAGAGAGGAAGCTTGCGTTTGAGGAGAGAATCGAGGCTCTCACCAGGCATTTGAGAGGAACTGAATAATCATCAGATGCAATCTGCATGGTGCACACAGCCAGCATGAAAGCTTCTTTGTCACTACTGTTAAGGCAAAAGACAGCTCTCCTTCCTCAAGTGATGACCTGCATGACACTCACTGCATGGGATGGACATGAAACTCATCGCTCAGAAAAGTTCGGTGCTACGTTACGTTTTCTAGGGAACACACAGAAGTATTACTGGCTACAAACATCATTCCTCTTTGCTAAAATGCAGCGCTCTCTTCCTCAGCATAGGAGAATAAAGTGGTCTTGTTTTTGTTGAAGTCCAGTCACGAAAAAAAACCTGAACAGCCTGGACAACCTCTGGCCAAAACAGAATCTTCAGGGTGTTAAAGAAAAAAATTTCTTCAATGAAAGTGAGTTCTCGTACAACAAAACCAGTGCCACTGTAAAACATGCGTTGCCCAAAGGTTGTCGTAAAACCAGAGGCAATTCACGAAGCTGGCAAATACAAATGCGCAGAAACACAACCTCGCTAAGTTACTGCCGTTTGAAAGCTTTTAGGTCAGTCACAGCATTACGTACTCTGACACTTTAGATGACAAGAAACAAATTAACAAGTCGCATTAATAGGATGATATCAAAGTTATTCTATTAGGTTTACTTTGGAGGGTATTAAATATTAAAATAGTTTCTAAAAATCTTTGGAAACTGTTCTGTATATCAAAACTGTAATTTTACTTTAAAACATGAGTACTTTGGAGAAAGAGCTTAAGCTCCCATTTCATTTTGTACATTTTTGATACATCCCAGGACATTTGATTAATGTACTTTGCTCCAGACGATGGAGCCTACAGAATCTTCTCACATAAATCTGTGGAAACACAGTGAATAATTTGGTTTATGGAAGCTGTTCCTCTACGTTAGTATGCTTATAACATGAAACAGAACAACTTTTATTTTATATTGGACCAGTTTTTTGTGCCAGTGTTTAGATTCTGAGATAATTCTTTGTAATTTAATCAAAACTGATGTTTTTTGCCTGCTTCACAGGTTGATGCAGAAGGAACACAGGAGGATGTTTTTCTGGAAGTCTGCAAGACAATTGACTCTTTTCTGAAAAAGGAAGAGGAAGCATTTTCTTCTTCAACAGAAGCGCAGTAATGGCGTGTACACGGCCTCACCTCACGTGCACTAGACAGTCATGGTTAAAATGCTGCTCAAAGCAATACTGCTTTCTTGAGAGGTATCTGGAATTTGTGCATGTGGTATGTTATTTTAGGTGAAATCTTTTTTCTCTGTTCTGACAATACACTCAGTAGAAAGTGGTCTGTATGCTAACTCTACACTAAGAACTATATATTGTTTTATTGGTTGTTTGCTCTTCCCGGGTTAAAAGCAGCATGGTGAACAGCAGCTCTGGTTTGTATTTCATGATCGCACACATTTGATTGGAAGTCAAACAGCGCCTGGCCAGCAGTGAGCTCTTCAACCACATCAGTCACCATTTAGCATATTAACTTTAAGATTACTGCATACAAGTTTCCCATTGGTTATTATTTTCTTTTAATTAACAGTATTAATTCTTGTAGTATCACTTAGCTAGTTCTTGGGTTTTAGTGACTAAAATCTGTTCTCTGTTACGTGCAGCTGTAAGACAGCTGGAATTAGTCAAGCTAGAAGCTAAAATAAAATTTTCACACGTCCCCAGAACACTATTACAAGAAGAAGCAGAAGAATTAATTGAAGATACAGTTGAATATTGTGGAAGTCTGTCAATCCATTATCGTGGAGCAGACACCATTTTTGAGACAGCCTTGTCTTCTGCTGCAAATCGTAGGATATTGTAAATGACAACTTCCCAGTTTTGCCAGCCGAGGTGAATATTGATTGTATAAGTAAATGTGCAATCCAGTAATTATCCATATTAACAGCAGGTTTACTATATTAATTAAAGTCTACATATAAAGTTGACTATGAGCCAGAATGTATGAAGATGTCTTTAAATCATACTTTGGCAGCATTTCAAATACAAAATTCAGATCATCCTCTGTTGTCTTACACCGGCATTGCCAAAA